GTTGCATCCCAAATTATATTGCTCATTGTACACATGACATACGCAACCAAATTTGAACTGACACAGTTTTACGAAATCAAGGCCAAAGTGAATCAGAGCATCTCTGTTATATGATTAAGAGTTATAGGGCAATTCAGCCCTATGTGTATAATAAGTAAATATAGTGTAGTTGATCACATCTTATTTGACGTCAATGACGTGACAGAGCCGCAGGGCCCTTTTGCTGTTTTCCGAGTAAAATATCTGATCATCTGAGCGTCCCAAACTGAGCTGTCACAGGCGATTAGCGGAGGAACAATTCGTATTGGTATCCCAAAGAGCATGGGGTGCTCACGAGAGAGCGCCGGCCACAACTGGAATCAATGTCACCGTTCAGATCATCACGCATTGCAGATTCACCATGTAAGATGCATTTGGTGTGCCGCCTCGCCGTCTAAGGCCTCCATTCATTCGCAGATTTTTTTTTTTCCACAAAAACTTGGTCAGCCTAATAACGACACTTTCCTCAGGAAACTTCAGCCCTTGCCTTGTGGGGTCCAGAGCGTTGTGTGTGTCACGATGTTTGTCTGTCCCGCCAAAGCCAATTGCGTCCACCCAAAATGTTTTCCTAAACTCGCCTTATAATCTTGTTATTCCTTTCGGTCAAACTCGTGTGTGAGTAATGTGTGAAAATAAGGCAGTTAGACATGTAAATAATGTAAAGCGCGGTTTGCAACGCTGGCCAGTTGGATATTTTGACATTTTTTTATGGTTTGTCGAAGAATCGCTATTTTCAGTCACTGGACGGTGCACTCAAAAGATGCGAGGCCTCCTCCTATTTGGATATATTTCGTGAGAAATCTTTAACTGTTTCCATGTAGCTGTTTAAAGTGATTAAAAATACTCATATGCACAAATGTTTCACAACACAGAACTGAACATCAATAAATAAATAATGCATGTATTATAAGTTACACGATATGATAGTTGGCCCGGCATGACTCTTTCCTGCACAGCTTTATAGTAAAAGAGGTTAACCTCCATGTTACACCGCTGGCAGCAATTATCCTCCTTATTTAGTGATAGATACACCGCTAATGTAACCAATTTAGAACATACACTGTATAACTAACTGTTTTCACAGCAGTTTTGATTTACATTGGGTCCTTTAGAATTTGTTTGTTTTTATTGAGGTTTGAGCAGACATGGCCATATACGATATGCATCAGATTTTTACCCCACAAATTAACCAGGCAGAGTTTACGTGCCAATCAAATGGCAAAAGACTATATTGCAAGACTTGTAGCTAATGCTAGTACAGTAGTTCTAAGGCAGATTCTGTGGCGGTTCACGGGTGGCCATGGTTTTGCGGCAATTCAAATTTTGAATCGGAGTTGCAAGATGTGGCGACGTTGCAGGTTCTAGCCAGTCAAAAGAGCACGGACACTTTCACACAAGCAAAAAATCCATTTGTAAGCGCGCAAGACACAGCCACTCACCACGCAATGCCAAGTAATAGAAATAGAGTGCAATACACATATTGTATTTTACGGTGTCCACCCACTTCTCCCGACGCCACATTCAATTTTAATTTCGGTTTTAGCCCTAATGCGAGTTATGCTTAATAACGTTGGCCTGTGATTATTTTGGAGTAGTAAAACATTAAATTTAACGTTAGTTCAACTGGTGTTGAAGCCTATGATTGATGTTCTGTATGTATATATAGAACATCCCAGAATCGCGTACACCCACTTAAAAAATCCCCACTACACCACTGATAAAATCGGTCAAAAGATATCTCCGATGTCAAAACCCACATAAATTGAGGTACCGCTGTCCCAGACATAACCTGTCTTCAAAAAAGCGCGCTGCACACTGGGTAACATGCAAACATGCTCATACTATCTTATAAATAACGGGATTGTTTTCGCCAATTATGCATGGTAGCGGCCACCTTATACAATAGTAAGGCACAAAACAATGCAAAAGAATTTAATTTAAAAAAACTCCATGGTATGCTATGGTCCATGTGTGTACAATATACTAACTCGTGATTAAAATGATGTCTTCTCTCACCAGTTATTAATCATAACCCCGAATTTGCACAATAGAAATAAACAGAACGAAGAAATAATCCAGAATCGATTCCGCACAGGCATACGTGCAAACTATTTTATAAATAATTTGATCGCTTCTGCTTCCAGATATCCGCGATTACCATCTCATTTTACAACAGAATGATTTGGAATAATTGAGAGTAAATAAATAAAGAAATAAATAAAATCAAGGCGGCAGCATGCTTGGTCCCTCATTGACACGTTAGTGCACTTTGCATGTGTCAAATAATTTATGCTATGAATTTCTCTCATCAATGATTCATGAAAAACACAATTTATTTGACAATAAAAATCAACAGAATGACAGAAAATGATTAAGAGTGACACGTGCACATGTCTCATAAGTAAAGTGGTTTCATCTCTGCCAGTTATTCATAATAGCCACCTTGTATAATAGAAATAAACAGAGAGTCTAAAAAACAATCTCGACTTGAACCATGAGGCCTCCCCACCGCCACGGGATTCTAAGTTCATTCAAGTTCTTTATTCATTTTCTAATGCTACACAACACATCTGTCCCATCGTCGCACCTCTGAAGTTCACCATGACGGTGAGAGGAGCACAAAATTCAATCTAAAGTTTTATATTTTACCATCCTGCCTGGATATGTTTTTATAAATCTATCCATACACTATGTATGAAGACAGCAGGATATATTCAGAATGACAAAAAAAAGGCCCCATCTCTTTTTGTATCTTGGGTGACCTCTCCTCACAGAAAACACACAAATGCAGAAAAACAAGCTTTACACAACACGAGTGTGAAATCAGCATGTTCCGAGACCGCATGGGTAGCTGAGATTGCGGTGGCCACAAATGTCGACATCACGCATGGCAGTGACCCCTCCATTCACCATCATCGGCCAATTCTGGAAAAAAAATCAGCCTTTCATTACTGCCGAGTTCCTGGAAGTGAATTAAAATGAAATCTGCTGGTGATATAAGGCAACATGAGGGGAATACAAATGACAGAAAGGGTTGATGTAATACATGGAATATATTCCTCAAGCAATCCACCACACAATATTCAATTATAAAAGCATCTTATTTCTTTGCTTCTTGTTTGTTTACGTACCTTCCATGAACACAACCGGCAGCACTGGACCGCAAACATTTCCTTTTAAGTACACATTGACACTTTACAGGAAACAGCCCGCAACAATTAACAAATTTCGGCAAACGCTAAGAAAACGAAGAATCGTCTTACTGGTTATGAATATATGCGTGTACACAACATTTGGGCTCTGCTTTTGATTAATCAGAGTTGCGAACCTAGCAAACACACACTATTAGTGGCACACTCTGGAGCGAGGGGCTACTCAAGTACCCCGGGAGCAGTTCGGGGTATTTGTGTCTTGCTCAAAGGACCCACTAGTCATGCGAATTTGACAGTGGATGGTCTATTGATGGATCATCTCAAGCGCTGTCCACACTTGATGAAGCAGTTTTGTTTTTGCCCACATTCTTCTGCTGCTTGATAAATTGAACTAGGATCCCTTCACGGTGGAAGGTGATGCATGTCAATCTCTCACTCCATTCCTTCCTTCACTCGCGGACAACACCAAGATACTTAAACTTTTCCACTTGGGGCAAGATCTAATTTCTGACCCGAGGGCACTTGAGGCTATCCAACCTTGGACCATGGCCTCAGAATTGGAGATACTGATTTTCATACCACCCGCTTTACACTTTTCAGCAAGAGGTGAGGATTTTGGATCAATGAGACCCACAGATCCACATCATTTGAAACATGAGACATACTCGTGAAGTCACCAAACCGGGCCCTCTAAACGCTTGAACTGAACCTAGACATTCTGTCCATAAAGACAATGAACAGAATCAGTAATAAAGGGCAGCCCTGGTAGAGTCCACCTCTCACGAGACACAAATCAAGATTTTTTTTCCCAGTAATCTGGACCAAACACTGAAACTGGTCATACAGGGACAGGACAACCCATATCAGAGGGGCAGGGATCCCATGACGCCCCACCCGCCAGAACTGAACAAACACACATGCACCATCCAGAATGCTGAGGGCGTAGAGCTGGTCTACGCCCTCAGCAGCCACTGCCTGGTGGTCACTGGTCATTATTGATTTTTCATCAATCCATCGATTTTCTAAACCGCTAATCCTCACAAGGGTTGTGGGCGTGATGGAGTCTATCCCAGCTGTCTTCGGGCAGTAGGTGGGGTACACCCTGAACTGGTTGCCAGCCAATCGCAGGGCACACATAAACGAACAACTGTGCGCACTCATATCTAGGGACAATTTAGAGTAAACCATTAACCTGCCATGCATGTTTTGGGAATGCGGGAGAAAATCGGAGTACCCAGAGAAAACGCACAAAGGCACTGGGAGAGCATGCAAACTCCACACTGTAAGGTCGTAGCCGGAATCGAACCCTACAAATCTGCACTGTGAGACCAACGTGCTCACCAGTCGCTCACCATACCGCCATAAATGATTTTTTTTTTTAAACGCACTGAAGGCTTCCTCACGGAGCATCTCCACGCGAATCACTGCCGCCATCTATCGAAATAAAGTTGTATCGCAATCACGTCTGACTCAACATAATCACGTGATTGTTAAGGCTGCTCGCATATTTATGACTTTTGATTTTTACTCATTAGTAGACATTTTTATAACCGGATTTACAAAGTAAACTTTATTTTAAACGAGCACCAAAAACGAATGAACGCTCATCCCATATCCCAACGAAGATTATACAGTCGAATAGAGGAATTTGCTTAAATGACAACAAGACATCATGTCCGTTTTTACGATAATCTTTATGTACAATTTGGAAGTAAAACGAAATGCACTTGGTTCCGAGTTGACTTAATTCACATTTGGAAGAATTTGTTTTAACAAATGTCACATCGCCGCCGCAGGAGGAGGACAGAGTGGCATAAACTGGCAACCCAATCCAACGTTTACTCTTCATTGAAATTAGCTTCCTTCCCTCGCGTCATTTTTTGTTGCACCTGTCGAGCTAGAAACTCAGTCATGGCCGGAAAGAGAGCCTTGGTCATCCTGTCCAAGGGTGCGGAGGAGATGGAGACTGTTATCCCGGTGGACATCATGCGAAGAGCGGGGGTTCGTAACTTTGTCCTTGGGATACTTTGGTTTTTAGCGGTTAGCAAGCTAACGCTCGTATTCTGGAAGTTCTTGCAGTTATACAGTGACTCCACTTGTCACAACTAAGCATACAGTGCACCGATTTAAACGTTTTGTAGCGTGTATCTCTGCAAAGCGTATATTTTATGCGCAAGTGACAGTTTATAGTGTCGAGCGCTTGTTTTAATCCTGTCCTATTAGTACGACGGAAAACTGAAAATGTCAAAGGTGAACGACCCGCTGGAGTCCTTTTACGACTGTCAAAATAATCTGTTACCATTACAGTAACACTGCCTCGATGCCACTGTATGCTATGTACTGTAACAATGCCATGACCACATACTGTAGTGTCATTGGCAGAAACTTCATGTGCGCTAAATAATGTAATATTAAAGATGTGAAGTGAGGGAAATATGATGCCAATGGATGATGTTTGCACAATACCATTACAGATTACAGTGACGGTGGCAGGGCTGACGGGTAAAGAGCCGGTGCAGTGCAGCAGAAATGTCATGATCTGTCCCGATGCAAGCTTGGAGGATGCAAGAACAACGGTTGGACTGAGCGATCACCTTGAAGTGAAACTATGTAAAGAATTGGAGATACTGATTTTCATACCACCCGCTTTACACTTTTCAGCAAGAGGTGAGGATTTTGGATCAATGAGACCCACAGATCCACATCATTTGAAACATGAGACATACTCGTGAAGCCACCAAACCGGGCCCTCTAAACGCTTGAACTGAACCTAGACATTCTGTCCATAAAGACAATGAACAGAATCAGTAATAAAGGGCAGCCCTGGTAGAGTCCACCTCTCACGAGACACAAATCAAGATTTTTTTTCCCAGTAATCTGGACCAAACACTGAAACTGGTCATACAGGGACAGGACAACCCATATCAGAGGGGCAGGGATCCCATGACGCCCCACCCGCCAGAACTGAACAAACACACATGCACCATCCAGAATGATGAGGGCGTAGAGCTGGTCTACGCCCTCAGCAGCCACTGCCTGGTGGTCACTGGTCATTATTGATTTTTCATCAATCCATCGATTTTCTAAACCGCTAATCCTCACAAGGGTTGTGGGCGTGATGGAGTCTATCCCAGCTGTCTTCGGGCAGTAGGTGGGGTACACCCTGAACTGGTTGCCAGCCAATCGCAGGGCACACATAAACGAACAACTGTGCGCACTCATATCTAGGGACAATTTAGAGTACACCATTAACCTGCCATGCATGTTTTGGGAATGCGGGAGAAAATCGGAGTACCCAGAGAAAACGCACAAAGGCACTGGGAGAGCATGCAAACTCCACACTGTAAGGTCGTAGCCGGAATCGAACCCTACAAATCTGCACTGTGAGACCGACGTGCTCACCAGTCGTTCACCATACCGCCATAAATGATTTTTTTTTTTAAACGCACTGAAGGCTTCCTCACGGAGCATCTCCACGCGAATCACTGCCGCCATCTATCGAAATAAAGTTGTATCGCAATCACGTCTGACTCAACATAATCACGTGATTGTTAAGGCTGCTCGCATATTTATGACTTTTGATTTTTACTCATTAGTAGACATTTTTATAACCGGATTTACAAAGTAAACTTTATTTTAAACGAGCACCAAAAACGAATGAACGCTCATCCCATATCCCAACGAAGATTATACAGTCGAATAGAGGAATTTGCTTAAATGACAACAAGACATCATGTCCGTTTTTACGATAATCTTTATGTACAATTTGGAAGTAAAACGAAATGCACTTGGTTCCGAGTTGACTTAATTCACATTTGGAAGAATTTGTTTTAACAAATGTCACATCGCCGCCGCAGGAGGAGGACAGAGTGGCATAAACTGGCAACCCAATCCAACGTTTACTCTTCATTGAAATTAGCTTCCTTCCCTCGCGTCATTTTTTGTTGCACCTGTCGAGCTAGAAACTCAGTCATGGCCGGAAAGAGAGCCTTGGTCATCCTGTCCAAGGGTGCGGAGGAGATGGAGACTGTTATCCCGGTGGACATCATGCGAAGAGCGGGGGTTCGTAACTTTGTCCTTGGGATACTTTGATTTTTAGCGGTTAGCAAGCTAACGCTCGTATTCTGGAAGTTCTTGCAGTTATACAGTGACTCCACTTGTCACAACTAAGCATACAGTGCACCGATTTAAACGTTTTGTAGCGTGTATCTCTGCAAAGCGTATATTTTATGCGCAAGTGACAGTTTATAGTGTCGAGCGCTTGTTTTAATCCTGTCCTATTAGTACGACGGAAAACTGAAAATGTCAAAGGTGAACGACCCGCTGGAGTCCTTTTACGACTGTCAAAATAATCTGTTACCATTACAGTAACACTGCCTCGATGCCACTGTATGCTATGTACTGTAACAATGCCATGACCACATACTGTAGTGTCATTGGCAGAAACTTCATGTGCGCTAAATAATGTAATATTAAAGATGTGAAGTGAGGGAAATATGATGCCAATGGATGATGTTTGCACAATACCATTACAGATTACAGTGACGGTGGCAGGGCTGACGGGTAAAGAGCCGGTGCAGTGCAGCAGAAATGTCATGATCTGTCCCGATGCAAGCTTGGAGGATGCAAGAACAACGGTTGGACTGAGCGATTTCCTTGAAGTTAAACTATGTAAAGACTTTGAAACCCGGTTAAGTTCTTGTGTGATGTCTATCTCAGGGCCCCTTTGATGTGGTGCTTCTTCCCGGGGGAATGCCAGGTGCGCAAAACCTGGCGCAGGTGAGAAATCCGCAGAACACAATTCATTTTCAGTGAATTTTGCAATATCTTGAGAACATCTAGTCAAATCTGACTTTTGAAATCTGTGGCTCCAAAAGAGATACTGATAAAATCAATGAGAAATATTCCGCTCTTTGTCAACAATGGAACCTCTATTTGCAAATTGCGCTACATTCATAAAGTTGCCCAAAACTTGCCTCACATCATATGAGAGATCAGCAAATCTCACCAGACTTTTAGCTCAGTGAGCGTCGAAGGATCAATTCTGCATGAACTTTTTAAGGGGGCTTTTTGATGTCTGTGTTTATTGCTGTTCGTACTTTTTTCAAAAGAAGCGGCATCAATATAAAATAAAAAACTAAATAAAAATAGGCATTGAGGAGTCCACAAACGTTTGGTTAGAAGTACAGTACATTACAATACATCTTAATTTATATAGCATTTTCACAACAGCTGCAGCTGTAACAAGCACTAACGAGTACTGCAAGCTGAAAATGTGCATTGTGCAAAAAATACCGCCAGCCAGTGACTAATGAAATTTACAAACACAGCAACAACACAATAAAATAATTGGGGTGGGGGGTGTAATTATAAACATGTTTCTTCTACTTTGTTTTTTTTTTCTCCCTTGTTTTGGGGGGGGGGCAAACCCCTTTTGATGTGGATATGGGAGGTTTTGGCTGATCATTTATTTATTTATTTTGTAGAATGTTTTTGCAACAACTCACCCTCAACGTGCTGATGGAAAACTTATGGCCCACTCCATCATTTAAGTTGCTTATCCCTGGTCTAGCATATTCAAACATGTACATGAATACACCCCATCGCACATGTACAATGAACAATGAACACCCTCATTAAAACATTCTTGCATCATTGCCGATAGATGAAAAACACTTTAACTGGATAGGATCATAAACGACAAACGCAATGCATCCGGCCTGTACACAATCGCAAACCCATGTTACATGATTGTATTTAGTTACTTTATTTCACACAAACACTTTCACATAAGGCTCATCAAGAGTATGAGGTAGCAAACCAGCACGCAATAAAAAAAAATGTTCAGGAAAACAGGCAATTGTAATGTTCGAGTAGACGACAGGAAACTGCATTAGGAGAGAACCCAAGGCATACTTTTACTTTTCCCGGCTGCAGGCAAAAAAAAAAGAAAAAATGCAAGACTGTATGCAGACAAAAAAAAAACCAAAACTAAACATTATCAGTGAATTTAAACCTAACAACAACATCAAGGATCCACCAGCTGGTGCCAAAGTAATAAATTACTGCTTTGGCCTGAGCTCAAAAACAGTGAATAGACCAGATTTTCAAAAAATAAGTCAGCAGAGGTTCACCCTAAAAAAAATGCAAATATGCAAATTCACAAATGTCAAAGTCACAGCACAGCGTGTTCTGCCTGTGATTCACTGTGCATCTGCTTCCTTCACTGTCTTATTCTCTCTCTCTTTCTCTTGCAGTCTCCTGTCGTGAGCGAGGTGCTGAAGGACCAAGATGGCAGGAAAGGCCTCATTGCGGCCATCTGTGCAGGTGCAGTCAACAATAAACAGACGAATGTTTCGCTGGTACTAACATGGCCTCGCCAATTTGTTGCAATGTTAAAAGTCCTTACGAAATTCGCTGGTTTAATGACCAAATTAGCTGCATAACTGATGGATCAAATTAAATCAAACAGTCTACCATTGTAGGCTATGTTCAGGGGTTGGACTGCAAACCCAATTCCAATGAAATTGGGATGTTGTGTTAAACCTAAATAAAAACAGAAGAGAATGACTTGCAAATCATGCTCAGAAACTGTTCATCTCAAATCCAAAGTGACGCAACACCTCAATCAACAGGGATCCGTTAGTCATTGCAGGAGCTTACAAAACTAAAATTCAAACCCAATTTCATGACAAAAACGTTGACAAATGTACTTTACAAATATGTTCGTCTGTGGCAGGAAATGATTCGATTCCAGTTGACAAATATGAACATACACGGCAGCGAATGAGTTGAAAAATGTTACGTTTTATGAAAACTACGATCTTCATTTTGCTTGTAATTGGCACTTAATGGCTAAAGCTACCTTTCAAAAGTCTTAATATAAATATTTGGATAATTAATAAATAATTAAATAACATATTCTAAAGTATTAAAAAAAAACCTTGAGTGATGACTGAAGATTATAATGGGCGGACCCATCAATAACCATGTTAGAGGGTGAACAAGTTTCAAGTACGCACTGTGCATAATGTGGCTTTGGCTAGTACAGTTTCATATTTAGGCAGAATCGGGCACTTGGACTGTCAGTGTGAATTCAGCCTTTTAAATGCTCCTGTAATGGCTTCCTTAAATACAAAGACCTTTACTTGACTCGTGTTGAGAGAAAGAGGACACTCAAAGGACATTATGACAAGGGACTCCAGCGACCAATATGGCAAAGTAGATTGAAGAATGTCCTAGAAAATAGCCGTAACACTCACAGGAACTGGCAGTATAATGAAGCTGCCAGTAAGAAGGTCCCTTGCCAGAATGTGTTCCTGACTGAAAAGACTTTTTTTTTTTTTTTTAATTGTGGGTGACCATTGATGTTTGCATGCAAAAAAATAAAAAATAAATTGCATATGTGTGCGATCACTCTAATGGTAAGCACTTATCTCTGTCTGCCTTCCGTCCTTTTGGGTGGTAGGATTAGCCGTAACAAGATTTGTTTGCAGTCTGCAGTCCTGCCAGGAGAAAGTGTAATAATTAGACTGCATGGGATGGCCGCCAAGGGGCATAATCAATAACTTTCTATTTATTAACAGTTTTTCGATGAGCTCACTGCAGTGCTTGGCCTTTGCCGAAGGTAATGCAGCAGCATTCACTGTCTTCTGCCATCCCCCCTCCCCCCTTTTTTCATACGCACGCGCGCGCACACACACACACACACACACACACACACACACACACACACACACACACACACACACATTGATACAGTATAAATAACTATCTCATTGTGGTGCATTGTGTAAAGTGGCTGAATTTCTTAAAACTTATCGATGTCCTATTGCTGATGACTGGAGAATGGAAAAAGGTACAATCAAACTTTTTCTCGTGAAAGAAGAGTCTTATTTCATTTGGTGGATTTAATGTAAAAATAATTATAGTAACACTATCTGTGGGTTTTGACAAATCGGTCAAAATGCTCTAAAATGGCTGGCATTCTCGGGTTCTGATCAGTCCAAATGGCTGGCATTGAATGAGTGAAAAGGCTTCACGAGCCTGGAACAGATTGCCTACAGTATTTCGAGTGAGTAATATTGTTTTGAAATTGAAAGCATCTTGGAAGTCAGTCAGTGTCACGGATTGGATTGTGTTTGATTTGGAGGTTAGACTGTATTTGAATTTGTCAATCAGTACTTTCCGCTTCTATGCGGTTTGCCTTGCCTGCAAAGCTTGTATCCAAATGGCATTAGGATGAAGCACTGGAGCGATGCACATAACACAAATGTCTGATGAGTCATTTTATGTAACAGAACATTAATGAACCCTAACAGCTTCTCTTCCCCTCCCACCGCAGGTCCCACAGCTCTTTTGGCTCATGGCATCGGCTACGGCAGCACTGTGACCACACATCCGGCCATGAAAGACAAAATGATGGCTGGAGGTGAGATCAAAATCAACAACCCTAATTCCAAATGCTAAGAAAAAGAGCAGCTCGTGATGTTCATATTTTGCTGCAGGAAGTCATGCCCTACTCCACAAAACTGGAAAAAGGGAAAATGTCATTATACCATTGAAGGGGCAAGTCGATTAGCATCAGCAAGGTGCCATGAACTGACAACAACAATGACAACGCCTACATAAATGCACCAAGGCCACTTTTTCCACTCACAATCACTCCTTGGGACAATCTAGTGTTCAATTAAGCGAACATGTATCTATTTTATCAGAGAGGACAGGCAGCAAGAAAACGGAGCTCTGTAGTCGAGTTCAGACTGTGAAGCGTAAAATATGCAGGGTACAGACTGAAGGCGTTTTTATTATTTGTAACCATGTCTTCTCAAATATTACAATAAGTGACATTGGCAAACCTGCTCAATCGTGCACACAGCAGTTGTTTAGTCACCGTTATGATTACAAGCTTGGCACAAATAGAATTGCGACTAAGTACTAGTTTGGTTAATAGAATGTCAATTGCTGTTCAAGCTAAGTAAATGCCTTGCTGTGGAACAAGGTAATGAGCGATTATACAAACTGGACTGTATCTGTATTGATTGGTTACACTAGATACCGCTTAGTCTGCCCTCTGTGGTAATTGATGTGGAGCTTCATTGCGGTATTCTACAAAACAGGAGTCTTGCACTCAATTTATGTGAGGGGTCGCTGGAGATAGTCTGTCTTTGCCTTGGGCTTCATCAAATAGTCCATGGACATCGTGAATGTGACGTGGAACAAAAGATAGCCCATTAAGGGTGGAGAATCTCTGATGAAATTCCCAAGAGTTCCCAGCAAAATTAATCTGGGGAATTTGGGAATAGTATGCATAATAATAAAATATTTTTTGTATATGTATTAAAAGACATGCAAAACAAAAAGCATGACATTTCAACAGATTTATTTCTAAGTACAACTTTATCAAATATATATAAATTGAATCATCAATTATTTCATTGAAGAAGAGAAACATGTTGAATTGCAAATTACTTATCAATGGCCACTTGCCTGAAAATCAGGTTGTTTTATTCAGGAAAAATGATTTTCCCCAACTTTTTTTTATCTCAAGTTATCGATACTCATTCACTGTCAACCCTTCCAGTGATTTGATTGTCGTAAATAAGAGCCAAACTTGAATTGTGTAAACTTATAGTTTATTCACATTAATCCCCATAAATAGCTGGCAGTTCCTATGTAAAGTTCCCAACTTTGCTATTTCCCATACTTTCACAAAGCGATCCTCAATGCAGCATAGTGATGCTATCATGATCTTGAAAAAACAGCAGGTGGCGCTGTCATACAGCTAGACACTATGAATCACTCGGAGATGAAAGCAGTTGCTGAATTTTGACAGAACACACTAGAAAGAAACTAGGTCACTTGCATTGGCCTGTGCCCATCCTTTCAGTGTGGTGGTCTCAGCCTGTTGCGCGAGTTTCTCCCTTCCCTACATCCTCATCCTAAGTATTTCCCTTTTGTCTGTTTTTAGATCACTATAAATATTCCGAGGCTCGAGTGCAGAAGGACGGCCATTACATCACCAGTCGTGGGCCCGGAACCAGTTTTGAATTTGCCCTGGCGATCGTAGAGGAGCTTCTGGGGGCTGAGGTTGCCGCTCAAGTCAAGGCTCCGCTCATTATGAAAGAGTGACTGTAGACGCTTCACCTCCACTCACAGGCCACAACTTCTCGGCACACCCGCGCAATCTGGTACATGCTCTGTCATAAAATTTTGACTTTTGCAGCTGATTTCTTCTAGCCATTTTCTATACTGCTTAACCTGTTCAGGGTCACGGGGAGCTGGAGTCTGTCCCAGCTAACATCAGACGAAAGGCAGACTACAACCTGGACAGGCTTACAGTCAGACATATCATATGGTACATATCGTAACCATTCACACTCACATTCACGGCAACACTTAGTGAGATCTTAATTCATGCTGCCTGCATTGAAGTGAAGCAAATAAAATACATCATCAGTTAAAAGATACACAAATGCCCAATTTGAATCAGAGGTCTTTATTTGACAATTTTTTTTTTTTCGTTTTGTGGTTGCACTTTACACCCCGCCCCCACCCCCGCAGCGAATTTAGGTAACAGAGAGATGAGAAACCACTCTTAGTTTGATGCAGTGCAGTTGTACACACACTGCAAACTACAACTGTGTGCATTGAATAGATATATTTGGAAGGCAATTTTTTTGCATTGGTGGTTCTCTTTCGTTCCGGTCTGAAGACTCTTGTACAGTCATCCTTCGCCCAGTCATGGTACACTATTTGCAAATTCGCTATTCACCTTTTTTCATCTTATCACAGCACTGTATTTGCACTTTCGTACGCTTTCTGACTCACTCAAAAATGCCACAAGATGCCACCAAAGCCCTTCTTAAAAAGGAATCAGTCTCAAGGAACTATTTTGAAGTAATACATATTTCGGAGAAACGAGCCTTCTATTTGGGGAGGATCTTAGCCTGGGTTGTTGTTCCTGTAAGTTAAGAGAGTTTTTGAATTGCATTCATGTACATGCGCTCTTCTGGGGCATGCTTTCAAAATCAAATCTGTAAACCTTTTATATTTTAAGGGCAATGTAAGAGGAGTTTTGAAATCACGTTAAACTGTTTTAGTATCATAGTTTTTGGTCAATTTAATAACAGATTTCAAGGGGGATGTCAGCATTTGCGAATCATGGGAGATTACTCAATGACCTTACTGTAAAGAAATTGTTTAAGAAGCTAGTAGTTGCTTCTGATCATTTCAGCATTTTCTAAATCAGTTTAGTACAGCTGTCGGAGGACTTCATAAAAACTGAAATGGCCCCTAAAGGGAAAAAAATGTCCGGATTTAACCAATAATATAGTCCGTGAGAGAAGAGTGCTCCTCCTTGAAACCAACCTTGATTGCCCTTTCATTGTGAACTATAATATGCCAAATCATTGCACAGAACAGCATTTCTGAATAACCTTCAATAAAGTCAGGGTTACAGCAATTTGTGCCAAGTTGAATTTTTTTTTGGGGGGGGGGTCAATGCACAACGCATGTTTTTGGAATGTGGGAGGAAACCAGAGTACCCAGAGAAAACCCATGCAGGCACGGGCAGAACATGCAAACTTCATACAGGAAGGCTGGAGCCGGAATTCGAACTGTGCACCTCTGCACTGTGAGGCCGGCCGGCGTGCCATCCCAAAACATACATATACAATCAATTTTAAATTGAGCATTACTAGCCCATATTTTATATCTCTTTATTTCACAACATCCCATGACTAATGGGAGGTGGTGGTGGGGGGGCTGACAAGTGAACACAGATGGAAGGACCAACAGGAGGATGACCAGGCTGCGGTGGATGCTAACATGTTGACAACATCGATCATGTGAAATTGCACACCTAATTAAATTAAACACACTTTAAGCAGTTAAGTGTTTTGAACAAATGAAACACGGCTGGGGAAGCGGTCCTCCTTCAAATCCTGTCCTGGTTGGTCGATACAAAACCCTCCTCATCAGCAGCGACAACCACGCAACCACGTCACTAAAACCTTTATAGCTGTCTAGAGGAAGAGAAAAGAAGTGAGCCCTGACTCAGAGCAGAAATTACATCATCAAACCAATTGCTCTGACCATGGGTAGACCGGAGGTAAATCATCTAATCTATTTCTCTAATGAAAAGTGTACCGTTGAGCCGAATGAATCATTATTATAGTTAAGGGGGAAGTCGACCCATACATTTTCTTTGCAAGAATATATGTTTGTTGTGAAAAGTGGTAAAATGCCTGAGATGGCTAAAAACGGATGGGTATGCTGCTTAAACTCATATTCCACAAACGCAGTATCATTCAGAATGATGTGTTTAGTGATGGCACAATTTTTTGGGGTTGACTTCCCCCTTTGATCACTTGTTTTTCTTGAAAACGAAAATATGAAAACAATGGTCAGGTTTACAAAACAGTTGCCCACTTATTTCTTAACGTTTTGTTGAGCAACCTTAAAGCTATTGCCCTCTGCACAATGGAGGTCACCGCGTCTTGAGTTGTGAATAGCCTGCATTGGCACACTGGCAGTCGACGCCTAAATATAGGCTGCAGAATGCAACGTATTGTGGGGCGCCACTGAGAAACGCGGGAAGTGGAATCCGAATAGACTGACGTGAAGCCTGACCAATGGTGAGCCTCGCTGCGGCTGCAGTTGTTCTCCCAACGGCCAATGACTGCTCGCCCGCAGCCTTAATGGGGCGGGGCTCTTCCCAACGCGTGGTAGTTGTGTCAAGAGAGCGACGCAAACCAGACGCTCCTCCTCACCGGGGGCAGAAAGACATAAAGGGAGCAATTTCGCCAAAAGGTAAACACATTTAACTATTTGCTTCTGTGTGTTGGGCGTATTCACGTTCTGTATGTGCTGTATGGTTTTGCTCCGTTTCAACACCGTGTGGGTTATACGCTTGAATTTACGTCGCGTTAATCACTGCAGGCAAATGGTCGTGGCACTGTTTGGCAACTGTAAACAAGTAACACGCGTGTTGAAGCCATTAAAACAACGACTGTTGATCAGTGGACCATTTTTGTTCTACCGTTCCGTGATTATCTTACCGTGTGGTTTCAAGCAGCCCCATCGTCATGGTTTGACATCCTCTGCTCAGATCAGATGTGGGCAGACGGAGCGTAAACGGGAAGCCCGAGGTGGCGTCCACATCCGTGAAACTAAAGGCACTCACGACGTGATGCCCCCTCCCCGTTCACCCTGTATTACCCCGGGGAGAGTTGTCGTGCAGATGCGAGCTGACGCGGAGACTTCAGCTCCGGGAGGTGTCCGTTCTCCGGACTGCGGAGAGGCCAGGTGATCGGTTCAAACGTCACCTTGACAACGGGACAACGCGCAGTCCACGTTGCGCACCAAAGCATCATTGCAGAAAATCTCCAGTGTTCAATAAAACTGGGGGTGCCTGCTCATGACGAATGGTGGTTCATGGTGTGTCAAAGAAGTTCCAGGACTGGTGCTCCAAAAGACATTTTAAATCCAAAGTACACGTTTCCCCTAGTAGTCTAATGGGTTTTACCAGTACTCTAACCTGGAAGTCTCCTTATCTTGGATCCTCCGCAGCTCCATTGTCGGCCATCTTTATGTCGGCCATATGGCAAGCCTTAACGGTTACAAGGTAAGTTTGACGATCCAAGTTACATTTATAGATAACAATGTCTTGACACAGTGGACGATGCCCCTGCACCGAAGACTACCAGCAACATGACTCTGACTTTGAACTTTTGACTGTCTTGCTTGCTTCGTTGTTGGTGACTTCAGGCTCTTCCATTGAAGGCTCTGGCATTTGGTCTGCTGGGCCTCCTTGAACATATGATGCATCACTGCATGGTGGAAACCACCTTCGTCACTATGAGGAGAGTTTCACTGAGGCATTGAACTGTATTTGCTCAGATCTTACATGAGGTAAATTGCTCGGAAGGGAGATCGAACGGCAATTGTAATTTACATTTGAACAGATAAGTTAAAAATAGTACGCCTGAATTTCCACCAGATCTGTTAATATGATCATTACAGGAATGGCTAGTTCATTACTTTTCTTGCTCGGGTAAATGGCACGGATGTGCTCGTTTGACGGTGAAATTGACTGCAGAGATAAAATAAACAACTGAGATTTGTGCTGTTGTTGCTGTGTGAATGTATTTTGAGTGGTGAAAAATAGCAATTATGACAGACTGCCGTAATGAAGGCCTTATTTCATTGATCTGCTTGTGTCTTCAGCAAAACTAGTGAAGTAGGATATTGCCATAGTCAGATAGTGTTGACTGACGTCATCTAATTATCTACAAAATGCTTGTCATGGACAGCGACAATGGCCTTCAACACAACAGGCCAAGCTGTGTGCCCTATGAGGAAGCTGTGCCCCATATCGACAAAAAATAGAATACTAGTTTTCAGTTGGATATTTGTTGCACACAACATGTTAGAATTATTCTGCTTGAGCAGCCGTGCAGGGAAGAGCTTGGAGGCTTGACTCCCTATTTCTTGATGGGGCGTGCACGGTGGTGGTGGTGGTGGTGGTGGTGGGGGTGTAAAAGTCGCAGTGACTGAGTCATGGCTTTAGCTAATGATGCAATTAGAACAGCACTTGGCGTTTCCTGATGAGATCACCTACTTTCGTAGGCCCGCACACGAGGAAGCCGGGACTCGCTCCATTCAGCGGACACATTTCAAAAGGCAATTGGCAGTTCGCAAGCAAATGGGATTTCATCAAACGTCAACATTTTTATTGTCATCCTCCGCAAATTGGTTACTGACATTTTAGCGCCTTGCCGTTCTCGCAAAAGGGTCATGCACTCATCACTCAAGACAATGCATCATTTCAAACCGCATGGCTTGTCACCCAGCGGACGTTTTGAGGGTATTTCACAACTGCTTTTATTTATGGCTTGCTAGTGGCGGACATTGTTTCACTTGCCTAGATAGCAAACTATTTGAGATTGGTTCCAGCCAATTAGTGCCCTCAGTTTTTACCTTAATTGCGTCAAGGCCTACAGATTTGGTATATAAATAGGATTTGATTATTTAACAATGAATTGTGCCCATTGTGACCTTTTAGTTTTCTCCAACAGAGGTCTCCTACCTGACTCCCTACAAACATAAATGGGAGAAAATGTTGAAAACAAAATGGGTGCCACCCAAACAGCTACCTAGAATTGCTTTCTTAACTAATACAGCGTACAATTATTTACAACATGTGACGAAGGGGCGAAGGGCCGCTCGTGCTTATAGGCCCGAGATTGGTGACCCATGCCCCAGGCATTACTGCTGTCGAGGACAGTGTTTCTCAACCTTTTTTTGAGCCAAGGCACATATTGCACATTGAAAAAAAAATTAACGGCACACCACTAGGCAAAGCGATTCACAAAAAGTATATATGCAAGTTTATTATGTGGCTTCAGTCATCTAGTGGAAGAGTATTTCATTGTTTTGGTGATTTATATAGATAAATTAACAAAAAATAGTTATTCGAAAATACTACATATTTTTGTCCACGTAATTGACTGGATAGTTTTCCGCGGCACACCCGATGATCTCTCACGGCACACTAATGTGCCACGACACACTCGTTGAAAATCACTGTTCTCGGATATTAAAATCACACACTTGCGATCTATATTGTACAGTGTTTTGTAAACGATTTATGCTTGAGATATGTTAGGTGTTTAAATATGTTTAAGATAAGTGATTTGTTTTAGTTGAAATGTGTCTAGTGTGGGAGAGGTAAAACCACACAAAAAAATGATCTCTCTGTTGCAGTTGTCACTAATTGCAAGTAGATCTATTCTTAAAAAAAATAAATGCGGGTTCACTTTGTACTCAAATCTGCCCATCCTTCATACAGACAGGGGAAAAAACGCTCTGATTTTATCTATTTCCAGTGACCTATTCTGAGCAAAATGGAACCTTGTTGCTATGTTTAGGCAAGACCACAAGCACCCATCGAAGCAGGCTAATGCAAATTGTTTTGGCAGTTTGAGATGTGGAAAAACACACTGAACGTGTCCTCCATGTTGTCTCTGCCATGGAGTTTTTTTCCCCAATAACCCAAATTGCATGCCATTAGCAACTATACTTAATAATTTTATTAGATGCAGTTGCAAGATAAAATATGTGAACCCTTTGGAATTACCTGAAAATCCGCATAAATTGGTCATAAAATGTGTTCTGAAATGATGAACTTTGGTTGGTTTTGTTTATGGTTTGTTATCAGAAAATTGTCAAATCCATCCGATTGCAGAGGGTCCTCAGTTTACTGTGGTGCCGACTAAGGCTGGGCAATTAATTGATATTTAATTGTGATTTTCATGTTGGCTTCTCTCCATCTTAAAATCAGTGATGGAAGAAAAACAATTAGTGTGCAGAACGGCGTGATGCGTTTCCAAATTCCCGACATGTGAAAGTACTCTGAAAAAAAATACTGTTCAAATAACGTATTCAATGTGCAGAGATGAA